GAAATCTTGAAGAAATTTTGCATGGCAGATTGTAAGCCTGTGGGTATTCTAATATCTACATGCGAAAAATTTAGTAAAGATGTTAATGGAAAGAAGGTTGATGAAGGCTTGTATAGAAGTCTTATTGGAAGTCTTTTATATCTCAGAACAACTAGACCTGACATTGTGTTTGCTGTAAGCACTTTATCTAGATATATGCATTCTCCATCTTAATAAAACATTTTTCAGTAGTAAAAAGAATACTTAAGTACTTGAAAGGTACCATAGACCTTGGTGTTATGTATAAAAATGCAGAAAATGAAGAAGTGAAGCTACTGGGATATTCTGACAGTGATTGGGGAGGTCGTTTAGATATTTTAAAAACACTTATGGCAATATTTTCTCTTTCGGTTCTGGCTTAAAGAAGCAAGAAACAACAACATAATCAACAACCGAAGTTGAATATATTGTTGCTGCCTCTGCAATGAATCAAACTTTTAATAGAGCTTGGCTGTCAATAAAAAGGTCCAACTGAAATCAAATGTGACAATATTTCAACGGTGTCAATTTAAAAAAATCCAGTATTTCATGGCAAAACAAAACACATCAAGATCAAGTTTTATTTTATTCGAGAGGTTCAACAATCCAATAAAGTAGTACTGATTCATTGTTCTTTAGATAATCAACATGCTGATATACTTACAAAGGCTTTACCTAAAGAAATGTTTGATATTCTCAGAGAAATGACCGGTGTCCGTAACAGAAATGCCAAGGAAGAGTGTTAAAAACAACTGACATTTTAATTCCATCAGATAAAATTTTTAAAATTAGAATTACAGTAAATTTTTTAAAAAAATTAATTTCAGATAAGATCTTTTAAAAAAAGATCAGGAAATAACGATTGAATAAAATCTTCGAAGATTTTATCTAATATTTTTAAATTTTTTCAGATTTAATAGTAAATATATTGGACATTAAAAGTAAAAAAAAATTAATTCTTTCTTTTGTATAAATAATTGGACTTCAATGAAGGAATAAATACTGTAATTTCTTCTTATATATATATATATTTTATAATCTTTTTACTGTCAGGGTATTCTTGTTTTTAAATAAACAATTTTCAAGTATTGAATAGAATCCCTTAGTTGCAATAATTTAATAATCACCTTTTGCTACATCATGGCCTGTGTTATCCTTTGGTTCGATTAAGTGCTTGATACTTGTTTGGTATGTTTTAATGATAAAAGGTGTACCTTCCAAATAATGCCTCGTAAAACACTTGCTGATAAAGTCAATTGACTATCTTTCTTGCATGTGAGGGATGCACCAATCCCTATCCCACATTCAAAACTTTCCCTTGCTTCTTCCGTCCATCATTTTTTAGCATATCTGTCAGAGGCTTTGCTAATTGTTAACCTAGTTATGAATGAACTTTCGGTAATAGCCAAAAGATTTATGGGTTAAAAGAGACATAATATATTACATGTATAACATGTTCAAGTTAAAATAAACATGTAGGAAATTGTAATGACAAATTTGAGGAAGAAAATTACTGCATTAATAAAGTAGTTAACCGCAATTAAAAACCGGTATATATATATATATATATATGTGTGTGTGTGTGTGTGTGTGTGTGTGTACGTATGTACCCACACAATAGCAGTGAGGTCAAAGAAATGTCCTTGAGGTCAAGTGACATAAAAGCTTTAGTATCAAGTTTAGAGGAGTCAAACCCTTAGGTAGGTAGCCAGCCAGCTGATTTTGTCTTATGTATATATATATACCCAGTTAAAGTGCCAAAATCAAAACAAGGTTATAGCCCAATCAATCAGCTTGTCTCTTCATGTGTGTGCGTGTGTGTATTTTATATATATATATATATATATACTAACACACATATAATTAGAAATTTGTCTATCGTATATACAAACATATGTTTACCTGAAATTAAACTATTGAAACATTAATCGAACAAGAAACTACTAAATTAGTTAGCCAAACTTCTTTTAGTTAGTCTGTTAAATTAGTTTAACTCACAACTAGCTGATAACTAATTATTATTAGTTAGTTAATTCGAAGTGTGTTTAACTAATATTAGTGTACTTCTGTTGTAAACACACGTGTATAAAAATAAGAAGAGGAGAAACATTAACTTCTCTTCTCTGTTCCAGAACTTGTTTCGTTCAAATAAGAAAATCTTTTACCTCACCTTTGTTCGTGGTATCAGAGCCCTGGTGAGCGACTGAAATAATGGCGACGTATCAGAATAGTGGTGTTCGTAATGCATCCGGAAGAGTATCAACAACGAATATGTCAAGTGAAAGTCCCGGAATTTCTCAGGTGACAGTGCCCTTCAGTGGAATGAACTATTTTACATGGAGCAAGTCTGTAAAAATCGCGTTGGCAGCCAAGCAGAAACAAGGGTTCATAAATGGAAAGGTTAGCATGCCTCCGGAAGACTCTGTGGAGTACGAAGATTGGTTAGCAGGAAATGCGATGGTGATATCGTGGACTCTAAACTCACTGGCAAAAGAGTTTCACGATGCGTTTCTCTGTGTAAATTCGGCTCAAGAGCTGTGGGAAAAGTTGGAGAAATAGTTTGGAGAATCTAATGGCCCACAGGAGTATCAATTGATGAGAGAGCTGGGTTCAGTATCTCAAGATAACGACTCCCTCACAACATATTTTACAAAAATCTGCCAGCTTTGGGATGAGCTGAACATCATTGCTCTAGCTCCTCATTGTTCGTGCGGAAAGTGTACTTGTGAAGTATCTGAACAGATAGATAAGATGAATGAGAGTTCTAAAATCATGCAATTTTTAATGGGACTCAATGAGTCATTTGATCAAGTAAGGAATCAAATTTTGTTGCTAGAACCCCTTCCCAATGTAGATAAGATGTACTCAATGTTAATGAGTGTGGAGAAGCAACGACAGGTTGCAAATATATTTGCGGAGACAATAGATGTAACTGCACTTGCGGCGATAGGTTCACAGAAGAATGTTAGCTCGGGAAGAGGTAATTTTAGAAGGAGAGAGCTGACAAGAAGGGAAGATAAGTATTGTACTCACTGTAAAAAAAATTGTCAATACTTGTTTCAAATTATATGGCTATCTGGATTGGTATAAGGAATTGAGAATGAAAAAACGGATGGTAGAAGGGAACAGAAATAAGGTGAATTTGGCAAAAACTCCACTGGATGATGAAAAAGTAGTAAATGATTCAGTGAAACCAGATGACAGCATGATGAGAACATCTATGAGGGATTTGATCCAGCAAGAATTCTCAAGACTGTTGGAGGGAAAACAGATATCAGATTGCTAATTTATAAGCTGTACACAGGACTATGCATGTAATTTTTCTGAAAAATTGTCAAAGGAAACATGCTGGATTATTGATACAGGGGTAAGTTGTCATGTAAGTGGGAATAGTTCTTTATTTCATAGCTTCAAGAAAATAAAAAAAACCAAGATCAGTTTACCTGCCAAATGGTTCAGTTCTGGGAGTTGAGTTTTCTGGAAATGTGACCTTAAGGAAAGACTTAATTCTGGAAGATGTGTTGTATATACCGTCCGTCAATCATAACCTATTGTCAGTAAGCAAGCTAGCCAAAACCGGAAACATTAAGGTTGTCTTTTACCCTGAGTTTTGTCTGCTGCAGGACCAGAGGACTGAAGTGGCAGTGGGAGTGGGAAAATCAATGGAAAATCTGTACTATCTTGATGTTGGGTCGTTTGAAGCAGATGATATGAGTAAGTTTGCTGCAATTTCCAGTAAGAAAGCTACAAATTCTGTAATAAATAATGTAAAGGAGAATGGCAGAACAAGAAAAGGAGCCACATGACATGATAGATTGGGGCATCCCTCTCCATATGTACTTGGAAGATTGTATTTCAGTATCAATAAAGATGAATTGATGAACAGACCTTGTGATGTATGTGCTAGAGCCAACCAAACTAGAATTCCTTTTGAAGTTAATAATAAAAGAAATGATACACTTTTTGAGATAGTGCATGTAGATGTTTGGGGACCTTATAATCAAGTATCAATGATGGGTGCTTCATATTTTCTAACGATTGTAGAGGATAAAAGCAAGAGCACTTGGACCTACCTCATGAGCAGCAAGACGCAAGTCAGTTATACACTTGAGAGGTTCATTAAAATGGTCGAGAATCAATTTGAAAGCAAGATAAAGATAGTAAAGACTGATAATGGAAGTGAATTTTTGAGCAATGCATGTCAAATATTTTTCAGTGAGAGTGGAGTGAAAACACAAACACTTATTACAGGTGGCTCGGGCTTTATTATTTCAAGTGTCTTTGTCGACAGAATTTTGAGGTAAGTCATGTGAGATCCTATACGGAAGAGCTCCCGATTATAACAACCTAAGGGTGTTTGGGAGCTTATGTTACTCCACAAACACCCTACCAGACAAACAAAAACTTGCCCCAAGAGCATTTAAGTGTATTTTTGTGGGAATGAGTACCGGGAAGAAAGGATACAAGGTGTTTGATCTTGAAAGGAACCAATTGTTGGTGTCTAGAGATGTGACCTTTTTTGAGGACATATTCCCTTATGCAGAGTAAATACAGATGGAATCTGGATAAAGCCTACCAAAAATTCCAGTGCCAGAAATGATTATTAATCGAGAAGATGACAGAAGTACAACTCAAGAATCTGGAAGGAATAATGCCTAGATCTCTGAGCTTAATACACCTGCAGATGTACCAGCTGATAGCGACGGATGGTGTGATGTTGAAGCAGAAGCTGTTGAGGCTCCAGAGCAAAAAAAGAGCAGCAGAATGAAGAGAAAACCAGGCTAGTTAGAAGAATATGTCAGTAATATAGATTGCAGATCTACAAATGCAGCCATGACATCCCCTCATGTACCCAACACATTCCCATTTTTCTCTGATTCTAAATTGGGCTCTGAAGATGCAAAATTTCCAGCCAATTTAACCATGCTACAAGAACCAAGCAGCTATAAGGAGCTAAACAGTCTAAAGAATGGGTGAAAGCTATGGAGGCTGAGATAGCAGCCTTAGAAAAGAACAAGACCTGGTTTTTGACTACATTACCTCATGGAAAGACAGCTATTGGGAGTAGATGGGTTTACAAGCTGAAGTTGAAACCGGATGACACAATAGACAGGTACAAGGCAAGGCTGGTAGCGAAAGGGTATCACCAAGTAGAGGGAAAAGATTATTTTGATAGTTTTTCACCAGTAGCAAAGTTGGTTACAGTGAGAATCTTGATGTCTGTTGCAGCAGCTAGGCAATGGAAATTACACCAGCTAGACGTCAATAATGCTTTCCTCTATGGACATTTGAATGAGGAGGTCTACATGGTTCCATCAGAAGGATATTAGGAGGCAGAAAAAGGACAGGTATGCAAACTTCAGAGGTCACTCTATGGTTCGGAATAGGCTTTCAGACAATGGAATTCGGAGTTATCACAGTTGTTGCTGAAATATGGGTTCTTACAATCGGCACATGATCATTATCTATTCACATGTTGTGACGGTCAGAACTTTATAGTCATACTGGTATATGTAGATAATTTGGTTATTACTGGAAGTTCAGAGGTAGAAATTTGCAACATAAAGAAAGCACTGGATGAAAAATTCACAATCAAGAATATGCGGGAGGCAAGGTATTTTCTGGGACTAGAGATCAAAAGGACAGATGACGGTATATTTGTAAATCAGAGGAAATACATACTAAATATACTTAAAGATAATGGTCTCATTGGTGTAAACTCAAAATCCACTCCATTTCCAAAGGGACAGAACTTATACTCAAGATGTGTCACCGGTACTTGAGGATTCACAACAGTATAGAAGTATTGTGGGAAAGCTCTTAATCTTCTGATATTTTTTACAGCATTCTTAGATAGGTTTTTATCTCTTTCCACCTCGCTCTATGTACACATTATTTAATCAACCTATGTTGAGAAAACCCAATTAGCATAATAGGGAAACATGTATAGATTTAAATTGAGGATGGACTTCTATAGTTTTTATATCATTTTTCTTAATTGTCAAAGTTTTCTTTAGATTAAATGATGTAAAATTCATTTTTCTTGTACTCATGACCTTCACCTAGCTAGGTTCAATATGTAAGTAGAAAAATAGATTAAGGTACCAAAATTTAAAGTTCTTAGTTTTAGTCAATAAATTTCTTAGTTCTAGTCAATTTTCTTCCTAGTTTCAAATAAAGTTAATCTTAAATGTGATTAGAATTACAGAAGCTTCAGAACGTCTGATATTAATAGCCTTAGATCGTGACTCATTACGGGAGAGAAAGAAGAAGAATAGAATAGTAAAGAGAGAGAGGAAACCAGAGAGGGAGAGAACAATTATTTAGGAAAAAAAAGAATTCGTTTTGGTTCAAAATTGTTCCATACACTGTTGACATTGGATTAATTTTATAATTCACTTAACTATATTATACACATTGACATATATTAGATACATATAATAAAATTAAAATAACAAAAATCTTCCATATTAATGTAGTTCGTTAAAAGAAAACTAAGAAACTGTTGGAAAATAATTAATCTTCAATCTAATAATGCAATTTACACAAGGAATATTTTTGCTGCTTTCTTCCGTATGTCATAATTTCTTTTTTGTCCTCTCTGCTCTTATTTTCCCTTATCATGCTTTGACACTTGTAAACTTTATATTGGTTATTGATATTTATAAATGAAGGCTCTCATCTTCTTAGTAGTTTAAACTGAGAAATTATCAAACTTTCCCTCTAAATTTTTTTAACTATTTGAGGAAGAAAATTACTACATTAACACAATTGGTTACGATGAAACACCCGTCTTGCCAATTTACCTATATATAAACATATACGCGTGTGTGTATATTTTCCAACATAAAAGTGAGTATTTTTGGGAAATAAACAAAAAAAGAAACCCATTAATCACAAATCATGGCAAAATCCAACAGATCGAGTTGTAGATCAAGTTGTGGCGTCAAGTATACGTACTAGTAGTTTTCATTTCTCTTCACAACACAATTCTAAAGAACTTGTTTATGATCATTTGTGATAACCTTACCAAAACTGTAAAGCAAATCTACTAGTGAAAAATCCAAGCAAACCCTTTTCAAGTCAATTAAGATCAGACCCTTATCAAAATTTGCCAAATTTTGGAAGAATAGATTAGCCATAATTTAGATGGAGTTTTATCCCTTTCCACCTACTCGTTGTAGACATACTTAATCTATGTACCGAAGCTGCAATCCCCAGCATCTCCTAGTCCAGGAATTATGAACCTGAGAAAGCCAAAATCAACACAATGGGGAAACATATATATGATTTTCAAGTGATAAAGTGCAAGGAGTGATGAGGGAGACTTACCCTTTATCATTCACTGTGTGATCGATAATTCCGGTATACACATGAAGACTGGAATACCAAAAGAAAATATCAGTTTAAGCTTTAGAATTGATGACTATCTTATTAATAAATAAATGAGTTATAGTTCTGAAAATCATTACCCAGGGAATTTCTGGTTGAGCTTCTCAAGGACTGGAGGTGCAGCCACAGCAGAAATCTGTTTGACATGGCATTCCAATTATTGGAGTATTGACTAAAGAGAAGCAAGTAAAACTATATTTAACTGAAACTTGAAGACAGAAGAAATTGGCATTTTAAAGTTTAATGGTCATAAATTTACATGTCAATCCCACCTCTTTCAAAGGAGTGCCTGCTTTGATCTAACAAATAAGCATCTAAGCCTTGATATCTATTTAACCATCTTAGTTTTATCACCATATATGTCATCTTTATTTATCAGATTTAACCGATTTTTATATATGCACATATGTATATATATTTAAACATATGATTATATGTTATCTTTAAATTACTTAGTAACTAAATAAAATCTTGATATATTCCACTATTAGTTTTAATACCCCAAGAACATATGTACTTAGTAATTCAATTAAATTATAATATTCCACTATTAGCTTTAATATCCCAAGAACATACATATTTTTTATTTTTCAAGTGCTCTGGAGCAATTCTAGATATTTGGAGTATTATAGGTTGAATATTTAGAGGTATTTCTGAACATTCCAAATATATTTTCCTACATAAAAATACCAAACATAGTTTAATCCAGAATTACCATAAGAAATTCTATCAAACAAACACAAACTAAAAGTGAGTATACTAGTATTTTTCATTTCTCTTCACAGCATAATTCTAAAGAATTTGTTTATGATCATTTGTTGTGACCTTCATCAGAACTGTAAAGCAAAACCTACTTATGGAAAACCCAAAGAAACCCTTTTTTTTAAGTCAATTAAGATCGGACTCTTATCATAATTTGCCAATTCTGGAAGAGAAGTTTTGCCATAATTAGATGGAGTTTTGTCCCTTTCCACCTCTCTTGATGTAGACACGCCTAATCAAGCTATATACCAAAACTGCGATCCCCAGCATCTCCAAATCCAGGAATTATGCCCCTGAGAAAACCCAATCAACACAATGGAAAACATCTATCTCTTTTTCTAGTCATAAAATAAAGGAGTGATGAGAGAGACTTACCCTTTATTATTCACATCGAGATCCATCATTCCGGTATACACATGAAGACTGCAGTACCAAAAGAAAATGTCAGTTTAAGCTTTAGAATTGATGACTATCTTATTAATAAATAAATGAGTTATAGTTCTGAAAATCATTACCCAGGGAATTTCTGGTTGAGCTTCTCAAGGGCTGGAGGTGCAGCCACAGCAGAAATCTGTTTGACATGACATTCCGATTTTTGGAGTATTGACTAAAGAGAAGCAAGGAAATACGAGCTACATTTAACTGCAACTTAAAGACAGAAGAAATTGGTATTTTGTAGTTTAATGGTGACAAATTTACATGTTAATCATGGGGAAGACTCACACTCATCAAAAGTATATTGGCCAATCCACCTATTTATTATATATTCCTTTTTATCTCATTTTTGAGTTGAGCATTTGATAGACTTTCCATTAAATAGGAATAATTCTCATTTATATCCCTAAAAATAAACTATTTCTAGCTGAAATAGTGCTCTAAAAATAGAAACAATTTATATTATAATTACATAAACATATACAGCTATTACATTCCTAAAATATACATAAAAAATATTAATTTTCTACTAAGCTGTCCACCTTTCTAATATCCCCCCTCAAATTGATGTTGCTTGATCAAGAAACATTAATTTGCTAACTAGATATTGATGACGTTGTCTAGTCATGGATTTTGTAAGCACATAGGTTATTTGGAGATCACTAAAAACGTGTTAAAGAGAAATGACACCGATATCCACAACTTCTCGTATTAAATGATAATCCACTTCGATATGTTTGGACGCTCATGAAAAGACAGATTGATACAATCTGAATACATTTGTATTGTCTGCATGAGAGGAGTAGACTGGATTAAAAACTTA